CTAGCATCAACCCACCTAAAAATCTCGCAACGGTGCATTCTTTGGCTTCATTAATGTCGTATCAAAACATAAGTTGCTCAAACTCAATGGCATAATCTTCAATGCTAAGAGTACTTTTCTTCAAGTTGAGGAAACAAAAAAATGTCTCATGTCTATGAAATTCAAACAAGTATTTGTACTTCAACGCCTTCTTCATCATTTCCCATGTAGTAATTTTAGATTTCCCCTTGCATACTCTTTTCTTCTTCAAATCCTCCTATCACAAAGAAGCATGCTTTGTAAGTATGATGGCAACGAGTTTGACACTTTTGTTGTTAAGCACCTTTTTGAAGTCAAACATCTTCTACACCGCATAACCACTTTATGAACATCTCCGAGTTAAGCTTGGCTTCAAACTCAAAGATCTCAAATTTCAGTTCATAGTATGGGATGATGGTTGTTCCTCACGGTCTATTAACTTGGGATGCAACCTCCTCTTTCTCCGAAGATTCCACATGGAAGCCATGAAAGGGATTTTCATCTTGGTTTTCTTTTTGATTTCTTTCACCACTCACAAACTCATATCCCTTTTCTAACTCGATGATTGCTTCTAGCTCATAATTTTTTGCCAAAGCTCCTCGTTATCTTGTTACAATTGTTCAAATGCCCTCTATATGTTGAGCATAGTCATCCTATTCACGGATGCTTTTCTTAGAGACATCTTTCTATTCGGCCTATGAACAAAACAGAAGCTAACCTCAACTCTGATACAAAATAACCCAAAGTCAAATGTTACAAGCAAAGATTCAACCACAAATTAACCTCAAATACCCTTACAAACAATTAACAAACGAGTCCTCAAAAAATAAGCAACCAAAATTACCTAACAAAGGCTAAAAAGAATATAAACCCTTACAAATCCTAATTTTCAAGAAAAAATGATAATGCCAAAATACCTCCTCTTCCTTTTAGAATTTTTTGAATTTTTAAATATGGTCTACTAAGGTCTAACGGATATGACTAGCAAAATTTCGACTCAAACAAACAAACTTATCTATTAAAGCTCTTAAGATCAAAACTATCCAGCCCTAGATTAATTCAAATTTCAATCTTAACCAAACAAACAATTAAAATAAAATTATGCAAGTTCAATAACCCTTCTTGAAGACACGAGTCCACCATTCCAAAAAAAAAAAAAAATAGTGCATTTACGGAATATGTATGCCAAGAAGCCTCGAGATATAGATGACATTGCAACAAAAAGCTTGAACATATCAAAAACCCACCTTAGTGTTTGCGGATACCAATGACACAACCACAAAAAACTTTTAACACAATGATCATGAATATAACGTAGGTAGTGTTTGATAAAGCTGAAAATTAAGTACTAAATTTATTAAGTTCTGAATTTTAAGTGCTAAATAATTAAGTACTAAATTTTAAGTCGACAAGTTCGTTTGGTATTCATCGAAAATTAAATGCTGAATATAATAAGTTTGTTTGATAAATACTATTACCGAATATACTACGGCTATATACATGATAATTTTAACCTTGTAATTGTAACATGATATTTTTTTAATACAAATAAAAATATATACATAGATATGGTTGTATGTATAAATAAATAAATAAAAATAATTATTAATAAAAAATAAAACACAATCTAAGATAATATTAATTGTCGTATCACGATCAAAATAAATAAAATTTCAACTATTATTCAATTTATTTACAATTTGATCTCACAAATTAATTATAAATGTTTGATTAGCTTGTGTTTGTGTCCCGTCTCCAATGAGTAATAAATTTACAGTAACATTTGATTTAATTGATTGACTATAAATTTAGCTGCAAATAGAGAGAGAGAGAGAGAGATCTCAGATGAATGTATTGGAGAAAAATGGAGAGGGAAAGTAAAATCAGCAGTGCAGGTCATGTACTAGTCCTCCCTCGGCCTATTCAAGGTCACATAAACCCATGCTTCAATTCTCAAAACGTTTAGCTTTAAAAGGAATCAAAGTCGCTTTCATCACCCCCACTTCAATGGGTAAGTCCATTCAACAAGACCACTCATGTTCCATCAATATTCAACCCGTTTTTCGATGATTACAAAGAAGGTAAAAGAGCAGCTCCCCCAGATGGATATGTTGAGCGTTTTTATATTACCACGCAGTACAAAGGGGCGCATTCAAAATTCCTTTAGATGAAAAATCTTTGGTGTCCCTACCTTCCCTGCCAGAATTGGAGTTCTACCATCTCTTGTTCACGGTCCAGGCTCATATGTCGGCATATATGACCTCTATTTTAGTCGGTTCTCAAATATTGAGGAAGCAAATTGGCTCCTTTGGAACACGTTAAATGAGCTTGAAGATGAATTACGTTTTAAAAAAAATTACTTGGGATTAAACTTTAGAATCTCAAATTCCTAATAGCTTGTTTACGATGATAAGATAAGAAAAAATTACTTGGGATTAGACTTTGGAGTCTCAAATTCCTAGTAACTTGTTTATGATGATAAGATAGAAGCATCGATAATAGAGAATGTTTTCTCTATTTTAGCAATAAGATAGTAGAGATTGGTTTTCAATTAATTTATAAAACTAAAATTATAAAAATATAGAAGGATGTTATAGTCATATTAAAAAATTTTAAAAATTATCCAACTAAGAGTATTAATCAAAAAGTAATAAGTTAAAAATTTTAACTTATTTAATTAAATAGATTTTGATTGAATTTAAAATTTAAAAATAACATTATTTAGATTATCAAACAAACTTTTTATATTAAGTAGTACAACTTAATTTTTTAAACTACTTAAATAGATTATCAAACGAGTCCTTAGTTTATAACTCTAAGAATATAATAAGCTCACCTTAGTCTATGAAAATGTAAAAGCAGAGAAAATGTTCAACTTTATTCAATAATATTCAGCTAAAAACTTGTTACAAAAAAGCAAAAAATTTTCTTAAATACTAGTAGGTAGTTTCAACGAAGATTAGTAAAACTTGTGCTATTGGACTATACAAAAGTTAATCTTGACTGAAACATTAAAGAGGAAAATAATTATTTGAATGCTTAGGCAATTATTATTTAACAAGGACTTTGTCCATATTAAATAAAAATCCACCTAATTCTAGAACTCTTAAATAAATAAGGATCCAAAACAAACAATAATCCGAACCTAAATATTCCTATGCCTATTCGGCCAAACTAGAAATCCAACCATAAAGACTAATTCATTAGTCCAAGTTCATTCAATAAAAATAATCCAAAATAAATAATTGTCCAACCTAAAATAAGATCTAATTAGCACATAACATAAAAATAAAGAGAGATGACTAAATGTTTCGGCCATAAATCTTAGAAACATTCTGCTATAATGGAGAGGAGACACTGCATTTAGGGTATCTTCTCAAACCGGCATCAATTTATTCATTTATGCTTGGTGGAAGAATTCAACTCGGAATTTTAAGGAGACATGTTGAGGATAAAAAGAAGTTCTTATTGTGTATATTCAGAAGAATAATTTGACTGTTTAAAGAAGTTATTTCATAAGTTCTTATTGCATATATTCAGAAGGATAATTTGATTATTTAACGAAGTTATTTCACATCCAGCTGCTAAGTCCACCGAAGATTAAAAATGCAAGTCAGAGAAGTACTTTTAAGTGACATTCATGTAAAGTAAGGACATTTTTAGTGGTGTCCCAACGAATGGTTAGATGCTCAGTTACATTGAAGGTCTAGTGTGTGACGGAGCCTAGGCTCTATGGTTGACAAAAGAATATAATCATCAAACCATCACATAAACCAGTTTCTATTGACTTAAATTCCCAACTAAAATCTCATCAAAAAATAACGTTTCAGCAAGAATCAATTAATTATCAATGGGGCACAATCAAATACACCAATAATTGTTTATGGTAAATGTACAATATGGTTGGACATGTGTATATAATGCAAGGAGAATCAGATATCACTCTTGCTTTTGAATCATTCTCAAGTTCCTTACCTCTGCCCTAACATACCTTGAGGTTGTTCCACAAGTTGAAAATTTACAAAAATAAGTGCGATGGGCTAAAATTATCATCTAATAATTTGAAATTGGAAAGTCGCATCACCTCTTCAACTGGAAATGTCTTTTCTACTCCAGGATAAGAAAGTTGTGTCTGCCTAAGGCCTGCCAAAGAAACAAAAAGGACCAATAAGGATTTTTAATTCCTTAAAGGAAAACCAAATGCAAACTTACACCAAGAATCTATAACATTTGCGTCAGGCAATTAAATCATCAAACTGGACTAATGTATATGTAACTTCTTAACATATGCCAGCTCCAGCAAACTAGTTGCCAAAATATTAATGGAAAAATTTGGCAGAGACAGCATCTTGAGTCAAATATATGTAGGTAGCAGATTTAACAAGGCAATGCTGCATAAGAAAACTACAGTAGTATTGTTTGTATTTAAATACAAACAATTCATAACAAATCGATACGGCATAGCTAGCCTCCAATATCCAAACAAATTCCAAGTTGCAATAAACCACAATAAAAGCTGAACACGAGGCAAATATTAACTTAGAAATGAACAAAGCATAAGAGAAAAATTTCCATGATGTTTCCAAGAGGAGAAAGCAAACAGGCAAAACATAAATAACTAATAAATGGGTGAATGTGAGGGGGCAATTAATGCAGTCAGACAACAAGCCCAACCCAAAAAGAGAGATATTGGGGAACAAAAATCCGTGATAATAATATTTATGAGAACCATTACAGCTTACATGTATATTGGATGAATTTCTAGGAAGTGTTATATATAAAGGTGAGGCTAGAGAAAATTAGATCCCCATATTAGTTTCAGACCAGCAAACATGCATGATGTATTACAGAAATTGAGAGTAAATCACAAATATACTTCAGAAGCCATGAGTTCCAAGTTGATGATTGCTTAGTTTTAATGTTTTGATGAGCAAATGAACATACAGAATATATATGAAACTATGTTGGGGATAAGTTAACCATTACCTTGAATTTTTCATATGGAGCAACATGAAGACAATCGAGAGGATTACAGAAGAACCACCAACAAAGATGTAGGAAACTCCAAGAAAGTCATTCCTTCCTCCTAACCAACTTGATGTCGAAAGGACAAGTTTCTTTTTCCCTCCAAAGCTGTATGTATTATAATTGTTCATTAGATGGACCACTATAACATCATCTGCCTCCAAGTCCTCTTCGATTCTACCATACAACTTGCGGAAGCTAGGAAGAGCAGCAGTGCGCATCCATACAATAAGATCCTCTTGATCACTTAGCTATTAATGTAACACAACCACATCAACCAAAAGCCAAGCAAGAGAGAGAAAAGAAAAAGAAAGAACAAGACTTATGTCATCTGAACAGTGTACTCAGAGAAAGATTTCAATGAGTATATTTATGTGAGGAAACTTTGTGACAGATAAACCTGACAAGATGAATCAACAACCTAAAAATTTTCTACATATCACATCCATGACAAAATAAACAAGATGATACTACATGATTGTTGGACCCAGGGTAATAATGAATTAGGGATTTTGATTTCTAGCTGAAGAATTTAATCTGGAGGCAGGTACAATTTCATTCCCAATAAAAGACATGAGAAATCAATCCCAATAAGAAATTTGTTTCACATCCCTTTCATGGACGGACAATTTCTATCATAGACATTCAAAGCATTTATTCAAAAGTATTATCCTTTTGCATAGCTGCTACTTTAATCAAAACATTATGTCGTACATTATGAATAAGAGATCAGTCAAAAGAAAGAAATCTAGTTACTCTCAAATACAAGTAATGAAGGCTATGAATAAAAAAGAAGATGACACAGCAAAGTTATGCAAGTGAGAATGTTGCAGGAAGGTGTTGCTATTGCTGTCCAAGTGGTAACAAATTCAGATAATAAACCATGGAAAGAGCAAACTAATAAAAAGAAATAAACTGTCAAGGCTTACAGGGATTTTGGGATCTAGCTTCCCACCACCGATCAACGTTCCATTCTGGAAATTGAAGGGATATACTTGCTTCCCAAATTTGCTATTACGGTCACTCTCCCAGGCAATCTTCTTCCTGTTGATGCTCAATTTTTCCGTTCCACGAATAAGTGTATATGTGTCATTGAACAAACTCCACGCTATCAGTCCACAAGGGACAATAGGAAGACCATTATTGGACTCTTCAGGATTACAGGAACTTGTGTCTTTGGACTTAAGTCCATGTAAGAGTTGCTGATCACTTCTACTCTTGACATACCTGGAAAGTATTCGGGAGTTAATAATACACATTACTAACATTGGGATAACAATGGATAAAAGCAGATTTTTCAAGCAAGCCACCATGAGAAGTAATGATGTAATGTAATTATATAAAACAATAATTCTAAACTAAGAAACACACTGGTGAAGGGATTTCTTCAAAAGCTCCCCAAAACTAATTAGATGCACAACTAGCGTGCTCAAGGACCTAATTGCTAAGGCAGCTACTAAAAGTATAATTCCACAAAAAGATGGGGGTACAACAAAAGAAATAAAGTCAAACAATAGATAACAAAGAAAGAAAAAGGAAAAATCATTACTTAAACCAGACATTCAGAACCCGCACTACATTGGAAGTGAAGGAAAGAACTCTCACCTGCGGTGATTTTGATAGTAATTGTCAAGCTGATAGTAGATGTATATCGGAGCTTTCATATGCTTGCGCACCTAGATGAGAAGGTTTGAATAACATGAGCAAATGTGAACAACAATAGCGAAGACACTAATTCCACTTGCATATAAGATTGCGACAAAATCCATGAGTTACATCAATAAAATAGAGTTCTCAGAGGGAAGTCACTTGCAGAAAACGATCTGTTCAAGCATGGATATTGCAACAGAAAAAAAAAAGGCTGGTTTGGTAACTAATCACTGCATCGTACAAAATCATTTTTTCCTAAAATTCATAGTATTAGAAACCACGAACCTCCATTTACACAATCATTAGAAACCACAAACCTCCATTTACACAATCATTTTAGAAGATTGAGGCAGTCAAACGTGCTTTGCTACAGTTTCAGTGATTCATGTAGTGTAAATGGCAATTAAATCATTAACATCATGTAACAAGTGAAACCCATATCATGCAATGCCTCGTTCATGAAAAGAAATAATAATAAACAGACGAAGAAAAGGTTAGGAACTAGCAGAACGAGTGTCATCTGAGCTTTATAAATCTAAAGAGTAACAACAACTTCAACAAACATTGAAGATAAAGTAAATGTCAAAACAAAGTCTGACCTTGAGAATCCGAGAGCAATTTTTGGAAAGAGAGATATCTTTGATAAATGACACTTTGTCCGCTCTAAATGGCTCAGGAACACATTCCGCATCATAGCGATCCACAATTTCAACAACCTAATAAACCAAGCATAAGGAGGAAAAAAAACAAATTAAATGCTCCACTTATTAATTAACAGGGTAACAAGACGAAATGACAAATAGAGAAAGTAGTTACAGTACGAGAAGCACGAAGAGTGACTAGTCCAACAGGAATGAAAAAAAAACCGATCAACAAAAAAGTAGTAATAACCTACAAAACAAAACAAACGATATCAACATCAAAAAATGATAAACAGGAAACAATAAGACAATAATTCATATATATTTATATACAGTTATAGTTGACTCACATAGGCTGGCTTGAGGACAGGCTTACAAGCTGGGAGATTCTGCTGTTTAAACTCGGAGAAAGCTGCTGCCAGGCAGGGCTTAAATATTGATTACACCAATAGGCACATAAATAGATAAATGAATTTATGAACAATAAGTTACATAATTCCAAGCAAAAAGAAAAAATTGTACGTCATATAAATTACCATTACGGCGGTGCCGGCGTGGTGAATGTATTGGAATTGTTCGAACTAGTGCGGAATCTGTTGAGGTACTGGCCGCTACAACCAACTCCATCAATAATCTTAGACGCGCAAGCACGCATAGGAAAATCTGCATCAAACAGAGAAAACAAGGCTTAAATTGATGAGAACTTGGATGAAGCTGAGTTAAGAAACGGGGTTAGGAGAACAATACAGCTTCAATTATTACTTACGCGAGTAAAATAGCAATTGTTGCTATCGCTAACGTTTGAGTCAGCACAAAGGATCTGATCGAAGATAGGGAGGAGACAATGGAAGTTAGATTATAAATACCGGAAAACAGAATGTGTGTGTGTGAAAGAAAGAGGGGTTGCTTCGGTTCACAAATTTGGAATCATTCTTGGATGTGTGTGTGTATATATATATACACTTTTTTTTCTTTTTTAATGGAGCTACGCTGCGCATAGGTAGAACACATAAAAAAATAAAAATAAATATAAAATAAAATAAAAATAAATTATTTTAGTGTAACGTTTTGTATTATATTATACATATGTTAAAATATATTAAATCTAAATTGAATATAAATTTTATAAATTTTTAATCAAAATATTATATTTTACTGATTATTCTTTATATTTTCATCAATTTATGTTTCTTTTGTATTTAATTAGATCTTAAAATTCTAAAAAATCAATCATTAATTCGTTTTTTTTACTCAAACTATTATTATATAATATATACGATATTTTTTATATTTATATGTTTCTTTGTTTTTTCATTAATTTATGTTTTTTATTTAATTAGGTGTTAAAATTTTAAAAAATCAATCGTTATTTTTCTTTTTTAAACTGACTATTATATAGTATATACGATAATTTTTATATTTATATAATATATTCTCCTTTTTTTTTAGTTTCACTATACATGCCTTTTTTCCCTTTTCTTTTTTTCATCAATTTAGGTTTTTTTATTTAATTTTTTAAAATTTTTAGATTATTTTATTTTGATCCGTAAAATTTTAAAATAAAAATTTTAATCTCCTAACCGATGTACTACACATGCTTTTTTTTCCTTTGCTTTTTTCCATCAATTTATATTTTTTTATTTAATTAGGTGTTAAATTTTAAAAAAACAATTGTTATTCTTTTTTTACACAAAGTGACTATTATATAATGTATATGATATTTTTTACATTTATATGATATGTTTTAAGATTTTAGAATAAATAAACTACTATTATTGTTTAAAATTGATTTTTTTTTAATAAAAATTCTCATCGAGTTAATTTTTATTCTTATTTTTAATATAATTTTATTTATTAATAAATATGAATTATTTTCTCTATATGGATTCGAATAAGTTTTTTATACCTATTTTTATTTGTTTAATTCTTATATAATCAAATTTTAAAAATTGAATATATGTATTTTATTTTCTTATTTTTTATATAATCAAATTTTATCGAAATTAGTTTTATAGTTTTTACTCGAACTCTATTAACTTTAATACATATTTTACTATTTAATTTTTAAAAAATATTTTTCAGTTTATTTAATACATTCTCACCTATTTAGTATGGTCATGATGTATAAAAAATAATAATAATAAAGTCATTGATTTTATTAGAGATCAAATATGCATCAACACACACAATACCAACTATTTGCTATTATTTTTTTAATATTTAAAATGATTTTTTTAAATAAAATAATTGAAATAATATTTTAGAATAATTGCCTAATAATTCAAATAAAATTTTGTATATTAATATTATTCATTATTTTGTAAATAAATATATATAAATCAAATGTATATATTTAAAGAAACAATCTTCTCATCGGTAAAAAGTTTCATTTGATAATTTTCATACAATTTTTTAGGTTAATTTTTACTTTATTTCTTTTTTGCAATGTAATAAAAAAAATATTAAGATTTTTTTCTAAATTTTATATTAAAATTTGTTTATTATGGGTTTTCATATATATACTATCTTTTTATATTTTAGAATTAACATATACTTTAGCTTATGTTACTCTTATAATTTAGATTTCATTTTCTGAATTTATCATTTCTTCTAAAAATTATCATCCAATTAATATTTTATATAATATTTTTTACTAATAAATATAATTGATTTTTCTTTATGTTTGAATTTTAGAATAAAATTTTAAAACATGATTTTTTTATTTTAAAAAATAAATTGATATAATATATATCATGAATTCTTATAATTTTTAAATAATAGTTGCGTGTATATAAATATATAATTATTTTATTCTAAAAAGTTAAAAGTGTATTTCAAATAATTTGTCTCAATTCACTAGATATGGTCAAGACGTATAAAAAACAATTGAATCGTTGATTTTATTTCAAATTAACTATATATCTTTCAACATAATACAAATTATTTACCATGAATATTTTTTTTAACATTATAGAACTAATTTATTTGAAATAAAACAATTAAAATAATGTTTTAAAGGAATCAACTAATTATTCAAATACAGTTTTTTGTGCTAATTGTATTGATTATTTTGTAAATAAATATATATAGATCTAATGCATACCCTTGAAAAATAAAAAATCTTCTCACCAATATTAAATAAGAATAAAATTTTATTTTTTCATCATTAATTGTTATGCAAATCTATACATTAATTGTAGCTTTATTTTTAAATACATTCTTATAATATATATATATATATATATATATATATAGAGAGAGAGAGAGAGAGAGAGAGAGAGAGAGAGAGAGAGAGTGAGAGAGAGAGAGTTTTAAAGTATTTGCTTTTGAATTCTTAATTAATATTTAAGGTTTAAATTATTATAATTTTTTATTTAAGAATTCTTGAATAAAAAAGAGTAAATCATGTTTTTTTTAAGTTAGAAATTTTATGAAAAACACAAAAAAAAAAATTATAATTATTAAATAAAAAATTAATGAAAAAATTATAAAAATTTTAAATGATTTTATTCTATTTACCCTTAGCGTTGTGTAGATAATTTCAAAAATTAATCTTCTCATCAACATTAAATAAGAATTTTTTTTTCTCATTTGTTAATTTTTATAAAAATCCATCCATTAATTATAACTTTATTTTTTTGAATACAATATTATGATAAATTATATTTTAAAAGTTTTTTTAATCCTTGATTAATATTTTAGTTAAAATTATTATATTTTTTATTTTAAAATTAATCCATAAAGAAGAATGATTTATGTTTTTAATTTTTTACGCAGAAAATTTATAAAAAAATTTTTAAAAAAAAATAAAAAATTATAATTAAAAAAATTTAAAATGATTTTTTTATATCGGACCCACAACATAGCATGCGCAAGTAATTAGCCTTATTCTATATTGCATAGCATTTTACATATTTGACAAGGCGTTAATTTCAGCATAGTAGGCTTTCTTTGTTATCATTTTTTAGCATTAGGGTTTCATTTATGGGAGGCGCTCTACAGAAAAGACGTCATGGTTCGTAATTTCAGATGAGGCTCTTGAATCAGGGTGCTGTCTGAAAATGGAAGCCCCGGCTGCTCCTTACTAGCCCTTGGATCCTCAACTTTTAACATGCCAAAATTTACTATAATGAGCTTTATTTTAACTATGTAATTTATTTTCCATGATAGTGCATGATTAATTAATTCCTAAAGTTAACGTATAAAGCTCTTCATTTATAAGCTTTTAGATTTCTTTTTCGTAATTAACAAAACAAATTAAAAGAAGCGGAGAGTCTAATATTTCCGCTGGTGTTTATTTGACCCAATTTTATTGTGGATGCCACAGTCGAATTTTCTAGCCGTTCATTACAGTGGCTCACTAATTTTGAACGTACATCTCCTTTCTTTCTTTCTTTTTTTTATTTATTATAAAAACTACTTACTTGCATTCGCGCTTTTTTACCAAAGATATATACTTTAGTCCCTTTTTGAAAAAAAATTAATTTCGATCCATAATTTCATTTTTATTACATTTTGATTTTTTTTTATAAGATGAGAGAGAGAGAAAAAAAAAGAGAGAGAAAAGAGAGGAAATAGACAAGAACGGTGAGTTCATTATAGTGACCTTAACTGTTAAAATTATCTTCAATTTATTTGTTTTGAAAAACAGAATCTATCTGTAATTGTTAAAAATTTTGAAATAATTGAAAGAAGTAATTGGAGTTCCAAAAACCTTTGAACTTTTTGAGTTTAATTTGAAATTTTATAAATTTTAAATACATTAAAATAGAATTTGAGATTCTAAATGCCTTTGTGGACCTTAAAATACATTAAAATAGAATTTGAAATAATCCAAGCGCACAGGCTTGTGCTGTTTTTTTTTTTTAATAATCTATTTTTATTGAGGATTTTTAGGTAAAAATTATGAAAAATTGAACGTTAGTTTTTGTGTTTCCATTGTAGCCTAACGAGGAATATGTGTGTGTAGTGTGTGTGTGTTAAATAAACATGTATTTCAAATTATATTACTCTTATTATTTAAATTTTATTTTTTAAATTTGTCATTTTTATAGAAATTCTCATCCATTGAACTTTATTTGCTGATAAATATGATATATTTTTCTCTAGCTATAAATTTTAGAATAAATTTTTTAGAACATCATTGTTTTTTTTTCCTAGAAAATAAATTAATATAATTTATATCATGGACTTTTAAAATTTTTAAGTGACGGTGGCATGATAATAAATATATATTTAATCTAACTATTAAAAGTGTATTTTAAATAACTTGTGTCTGATTTTTTTTATTATGTTTTTTGGTTTATACTTCACCTCTTAATCCACTAAATATAATTAGGATGTATAAAAATAAATTAAATTATCAGTTTTATTAAAAAATTTATTATACATCTATACAAATAATACTAACTGTTAGTTATTAGTTTTTTTATAACATCATAAAATCATTTTTATAAAAAATAAAATAATTTTTTTAAAAAACACCTAATGATTTAAATATAGTTTTTATGCTAAAACTATCAACATATATATATATATATATATATATATATATATTCAAAAAATAATCTTTTCATTAGTATTAAATAAAATAAAATTCATTTTTTGATAAGATCGCATAAAAAATA